GTTGCTTAACTACCAAGAGGCTCTGATACATTCTAATAGTGTTCTGCTATTGTTACTTAACTACCAAGAGGCTCTGATACGTTCTAATAGTGTTCTGCTATTGGTCAGAAGAAGACAGCGTACCATATTTCATAAACCCTAAAATCCGTAGCTTTAGATGAGCATCATATTAATAAAGTTTCTTCTACTTCGTGATAGTAGGGTATATAAAATATTCAAACCCAGAGTTTGTTTCATGATATTATTGTACAATGTTTATTTATTTTTAACCCAACAACTAAATGCAACGTGGGAACGGGCAGTTTAATATATTTTATACGTGTGTAAATATATGTCAAATTTTCAGGGAAAATATAAATTTAATCCGAGAACTTCGTACTATGATCATATTGTTATCTCATATAACACGTATAATAACAACAATACATGTGGAACGTTTTGCCTAATGGAATTTTCTATCACTGACCTAACTCAATGCTTTAGTTTCCTGTATAGGTTTCGCTATCCAGTACGTCTTAATATCACAGTTTATACAAACACAAAGCAAGGAATGTGACCTAGACACTAGTTCTAGCTTGAAAAAGGACAGTCACAAATTCTCTTTCTTGACGAAAATATAAAAGTGGAAACAAAAACTAAAATTAAGCTACAGATATGTTGAAAAAAAAGATAATCCCTATGACCGACCTTACCGAGCTGGCTAAAGAAAGAACTCACAATTACAATACTTGAATGGCCATGATGTGAATTATGTTGGCCAATGTGAAGCAAAAAGTTCCATAAAAATTAAAAGTATTTTCGCAAAATAGGGCAGATTATTAATATCATCTTTAATAAACTTGGCCATAGTTATGCTAATATCATCTAAACCCTCTTAAAAGACATCTCACAGTAGTTAAATTTACAATATTAGAACATTGTATCAGTTTTTCACAGTAACTGTGACTAACAACAATGGAGCATTGAATAATCACACTTCAGTCATTGATAGCCTAGGTAACAATACAAGACCACTGTGCTCTAGGACGCATCAGTTTTTCTTGGTAACCAAAGTTGTAGCAATTTCATAACGATATCCTAGGACACATCAGTTTTGAAGCTGTATACAGTGTTAGACCGTTAGAGTTTCCTAGTAGTTAAGTAACCGGGACATTGTGTTTGGTTTAGTATTTCATTTCATCTTCTCATCATACTAAATCAAACACAATGTCCCGATCATTTCATCTTCTCATCATACTAAATCAAACACAATGTCCCGATCATTTTATCTTCTCATCATACTAAATCAAGCACAATGTGTTTTGGGCTTTATAGACCTTTAATTTTGTGTCAAAATGTGAATATTTTAAATATTTTGTTTTTTGATAACTTTTAGTATTTCAAACACGTGATAAGATGCTTCTAAAGTTTTTATATACGTGTTTTTCATACATTCGACGTTTTCTTTCTATTTGTTTAAAAAATCAAACGAAATCAACACAACATAATTCATTGTTGTAAATATACATTTCAAAGTAGGTCAACTGACATATCTACATTATTCTTGGCCGGGATTGTAGAGAATATTAAACTGGTGTAAATTATCTCTTAATTCTTCCTGGCACGCTGGATAACTTTCAAAGCAGTCATTAGTTAAGTCTGTTGACAGCTGAGTGCCACGAACAGATGTATGCACTTGGCCCTCCCCCACCCGCTGTCCCAGGTTCATCCTAAAAGTCTGAGTGTGGCAGAATAAGATTAGTGACTTTCGTAGAATGACAAGTATTATCAGTGAATCCAACGTGAAAACTAACATTCATGTGATGTATATGTGGTTAGGTGTTTATAGTTAATATACAACTTAGGTATTGTATCCCTAGGAGTGAGACATGTCATAACGTGAAACTAACATCCACATGATGGTAAAGTGTTTATATCTGATAGTTATTAGGTCGTCAAGAGATTAATGTCGCGTTTTTTTAGATGAGAAAACTCGAACAACTTATATGTCAAAACAAAACATTTATTAAATGAAATAGTCTTC